TCTCTCTCTCTCTCTCTCTCTCTCTCTTACTCTGTCTCTCTCTCTCTCTTACTCTGAGGTGAAGCGGTGAGTGTGGTCACCTGTGTGACGTCATTACCAGTGCGGGGGTCTGAACGTGTCACCGTAGATCAGCTGACGACACGGAAGCATGTCCCGCACGGCTCCGTATCCCGCACACACAGTGACACAATAGAGCAGGAGAACAATAGCCGCGCGTTGCTCGCCCCGCACATGTGACTCATGTGCGGTGATGTGCGGGTCTAGCTCTGGCGGAGGGTTACTGCTCCGGTGCAATGAGCGGGTCGTGGTGTTTTGAACCCCCCCGGGAAGAAGCGGAGAGGAACACGTTGTAACGTGCTGAGGAGAGAGAGAGAGAGAGAGAGAGAGAGAGAGAGAGAGTGAGAGAGAGAGAGAGAGAGAGAGGGGGAGTGAATGGGCACGACTCACTGCGCTCTGCACTTATCGATATTATCGATCAGGTCGATCATCGATACATTAAACCCGCAGCGGGTCTGTTAGCTTAGCTCAGGAGCTAACTGGGGCACCAGAGGCTACCACGATGGGACGCGTGTGAAGAAGCCGCAGCTAACAGCAGCCTGGCGGAGAAAGGAACAAGGAAGCGGACGGCTAGCTGCGCTGCACAGAAGCTAACGTTGGCTAACTGTTGGCTAATATTATTTCTAATGAGCGACCGAGGAGCATGCGACCTGATCCGAGGAGGTGAGCACCTGCACCCGGAGAACCAGCGGTGAGGCGGGGGTCCCCCAACCCCACCTGCACGGCCGGGTGTTTCTGGAATGGGAGATAATGAAAGAGGAAGCGTACTGCGGGGAGGGGGAGCGGACAGCTAGCCTGCTAACACGTTAGCAACCGTAACGCTAGCTCTGCCCTCAGATACCTGTGTACCTGTGGGTGGGGGGGCGGGGGGCATTAACGACGTGTAGTAACGTCCTCGCGCTCCGGTGTTCGATCACTTCACTAAATGGAGCTTCACTGTGAGGCGTTAGCTGCTAGCTGTTAGCCGTTAGCTGTTAGCCGCTAGCAGCTCCAAACGGTGCTAGATGCGCATCTTGATTATTGTCTTCAGGTCTGAGAGTTAAAGTTTAAACCTGAAAAACAGCTTAAGGTTTAAAATGCTTCAAATGAAGTGTCGGTTCATTGACCAGGGAGTCATCGGTGAAAACCGATCAACAGCTGCACCGATCATCCATGAATCGATTTAGTCATTTTCCAGAGCAAAGATGTGAAACATGTGAAGGGAAGTGCTCACGTGACCGAGGCGAGGACACCTGAACGTCTCACTGTGGGATTGATCCTGTCGATTACTGATCAATCAACCAATCACTGAGATCCATCATTAACACAAACATTAGTCTGTGAACGTCTCTGATTGTTGTTACCACTGTTAGCCTGCTAACGCAGCTAACGGCTCATTCGTTACAGCCTCATCAATCGATTAATCACAACAAGCTAACGACCGGTTTCTGATCAGTTGATTGTTGTATTGACTGTCACTTAAAGAGCAGCTGTGATCCAGTATCTGCTGCTTCTACATTTATCATTCATCCATTTGTTGATATTTTTCTGTAACCAACTGATCAGTCTTGTTTTTAACTGTTACGTCTTTGTCATATATCATCAGACACTGACTCTTTGGCCTCTGGCAAAAACAAAATGGTTTTAATCTCAAAACTAACCTGGCAGATTAATCAGTGATGAAAATGTCCATAACAGTCGATCGACCGCTCATTAGAACTCTTTAGGGTCCATGAAGCAGCTCCTCGAGTTCGTTATGAACCGAATCAACGTGCTGCTTCGTGTGTTTTCTCATTTAATAACAGATACGATCAATATGTGTGATCAGTGTTGATTTAAGAAATAAACCAGGAAGTGAATCATTTGGTTCCTTCGAGGTCAGAGGTTATAAGTTGAGTGGATGGTCTTTCATTGGGACACAGGACACGCTCACACTGACTAAAATATGAGACACATGTCTCAGAACCTCCTGATGTTTCAGTTATCAGGTCTCAGGCTTCATCCATATTAAACTCCACCCACACTAACTAAAAACACAGGTCACATGACCATTCACGTCCACTGGTCATGTGATGTAAACAGGAAGTAGATTGTCTCCTCAGCAGTTGGTTGCTTAGTAACAGAAACTCCTCTGAAGGAGGAGCAGTGATGGTGAAGAGTCAGAGCAGGGACGAGGTGGAACTGTTCCTGACAGGAAGTGTTAGCGACGCTTTGTGTTCACCGCTGGTAGTCGAGTCGTGTGACTGACGAGAACCAATCAGAAGAGAACGTGGGCGGGACAGTTTACTAAAGTCTCAGTTTGTGTTCAGTCTGAGTTTTCAAACTAAAATGTCGTAGTGTTGATGCTGGATGTC